GCTATAGTTCACAGAACTCTTTTGAAGTTCGTAAAACATTCCAGGAGGACATTGAACTCCCCTGAAGCTCACAAAATGTCCCTGAAGTTGGCAGAATTTTCCTGAAGTTTATAGAACTTTCTGAAAATCGAAGCAAATATTTAAAGTTTGAAGAATTCTGCTAAAGTTTGTAGAACTTCCCTAAAGTTTAATGATCTTCTCTGAAAGTTGTTGAATTTATCTGCTTCTTTGGAGGAACTTATTTGAAGTTCGCAGAATTTCCTAGAAAGTCGCTGAACCTGCCTGAAAGTTTCCTTAGACAAAATATGGGAATTGCATTGAAGCTCTAACAATTGACCACTTTGTCAAGCAGTTTTGGCGTGATTTTCTACCAGCGATTTCACAAAACTGGATCAACTAATTTCTATTTTTTTTTATGAAACGCACAAATGTTGGCTACTTTTCTCGTGGTTCTAGAAGAAAAATCTCAAAATAATGTTTTATTTCAAAGTTCGAGTGGTAGTAAACGTCATTTTAACTGCTCGAATGAAGTGGTTAATTCTGTAGTAATTCAAGGTGAGGACTACCTAAACTCACTGGGAAAGAGTAGATAACCTGTGAGTTTCATTCCTGTATTAAAAGGCATTACCGGTTAAACGATTTTCAAACCAATTCGTCATGGTTGCCACAATTTATTTTCGATCTCGCCGTTGAGTCAAACATATTTTTTTTTTAAATCCAAGCAAATTTTCTACTCCTCAGGATGTTTTGGTGGCAAATGCCACCTTCGCCACCTGCTGCGTACGGGACACACAACTTTCGGATATAGCCGGCGCCGGTGGTGTAGTGGTAAGCGTGACTGCTTTCTAACACCCCAATGGGTCTGGGTTCAATCCCAGCCGAGGTCGGTGGGATTTTTCTGAGGCATAAAAATCTCTGGTCACGTCTTCCTTCGGAAGGGAAGTAAAACCGTTGGTCCCGGCCCATGTGTGCTGAATTGGTGCGATATCCTACGCAGGTGTGGAAGCTGCCTTCCTGCACATTCGATTGCCGTCAATTTATTTTTACTGAGATCACAGCAAAATTTATGTTTGTTAGCCGAGACCTAGGCAAAATTCCCGTTTGTTAACTGAATCTCGGCAAATTTTTCACTGAGATCCAGCAAAATAGATTGCCGAGCTGCTCGGTGATGCCCATCTCGGCAAAAAAAATCTAAGTGTGTGCATTTGTTCAATTCGTAATAGTTTTGTATCGCAATATACGCCTTCCTAATCGGGTTTGTAAACTTCAAAACACTTTTTCTCAAAAAACCCAAGATGCATTATTTTAAAACCATCACAGATTTGATTGTTAGGATCAATACTAACATCCTGTGAAGGAAAATCTGAGGTACATGAATGTTGCAAAAAAAGTGCCTTGAAACATGGCGTGCGACGGTAATCCAAGCAAAACCACCTTCAGTGGCTTGCTCGATGGCAGATCATGCGTGAAGAAGTCCACGTTGTTGTCCTTCAGGAAACATCCTATTTGTTTGTACTCCGCCAGGCTGGAGCACATGATTTTGGTACCGATGCTGCAAACCGTGAAGCGAGACAGTAGCTTGTGTGTTGCCAGTTCGGCACCCAGATTGGCAACATTCTTCACCGGCGTGAAAAGCGGGGTAATCCGCTTTCTTCTAGCAATGAGATCGGCGTCACCATCGCCACGTTTTGAATATCAAGATCCAAATAATCATAATTTAACATTTTGTAACGAACTGTCATAAACTCAACATATTAGGGTATACGTCCCTAACCTCGGTCTAATATGCAGCCATAGATTACGTTTTTAATCATAACTCATCAATTAATTTACCTGCAAACGATATTCTACTGCTAAATGGTATGCTTAGATATGCTTATCATGTCGTTTGCTATCAGGAACCGCAAAAAGTTGAAAAACTTACTTTTTTTAAGACAAAAACTCACCAGGGAAATGTATGTAATATCGGTCTATTGTCCTCAAATTGGGTCTATTTATGGATGCAACTTCGTCCTATCCTGTTTGATTCTCAAAAAAAACGCTCTTGGTAACGTTTTCTTATGTATTTTTTTTTATCACTATCACTGTTAACTTAATACTCTTCATTCCTCAAAACATTTCTTAGAGAAAATTTTACGAAAACTACATTAAATCACTCAAGTTAAAAATTAAAAATTAAAAATTTCGCTTATCGTCTTTCGACCGCAGAATATCTAAATCAAAACATTGTGATGTTCATTATACAGATTTGGCAGAAAAAATCTCCCTTCCTGTTCGTTCCTTATCATCCAAATGCAAACCACATTGTTGATGTTACTCTTATTGCTATATGCTGTCAAATGAATTTCATGGGCCAAAGTTAGGAACATAGAAAAGAAATGTGTCCCTAAAGTTGGGTCCATGATTTACTTGTGAAAACGTTGTTAAACAATTAAAATAAACATAAAATATTCAAACAGTAACTGTGAGTTTTACGTCTAGTGTGTATTATCAGGTAATTCCATTCAATAAATGCCATAATCAGGCCATTTGATGATCGTCAGTGCAACCTTCCCATCTTAACCTTAGAAGTCATGGCGGCTAAAAACTCCGAACAGAGTGATATTCTCAACCAGTTTTATTACTTACGAGAGCTGAAAATGTATTGAAATGTTGTGATATAAATTGATTTGTGTGTGGTACACATTTATCAATCATCAGTGATCAATATTTTCCTTATTTTTTGTGTAATATTCCTTAATTAATTATTTATTTGCGTGATAGGCCGAATGAAAGGACTAGACCCACATTACATACCGTAACCCTATATAACAAAAATATAAATGGATATTCAACCTCCTATCATTTCGACTAAAATGTATCCCATGATTTGTTTGTTTCAATGAACTGATCACAAGAAATGAAATTGGCATTCCAAAATCTTCAAGATTTAAGGGGGTAGTACACGCTGTAACTTTAAAAAATCGATATTTTTTAAGCCTAAAAAGTTCTAGATTACCCGAAGTCTGTCCGACATTCCGTTCGAAAGTAATAACGCCAAAACGCGAACCAAAGTCCTGACCCGCGCTCCGACGTCTCAAAACTTCATACGCGTTTTTCTCGAAACATGATTTTTTCCAGATGGCGTGGGTGATATCTCAAGAACTTTTCATCCGATTTGCAATCCGTTTGAAATAATATATCCTTAACTACTTTTTCCACCTGTGTACGTAGCCGCTTTCTATATCTCAATTTTAGGTGCACACTTTTGTCTTTATTATTCGTGTGAAAAAAAAATAAATTTATTTTCAAATCGTCAACAATTTTTTTATATCAACATATCGAAAAAATCCTGCATACGTTGATTGGAAATGTATCTAAAAATGTTTGTTTTATGTTCACATGGGCCTTTAGTGGAACCCACGCCGCTAAGGACAATTCGGCGGGCAGTGCCTGGCGGCACCTACATTCATGAATAAATAAACCTACGCATTTCCTTTTTTATTAGATGTTGATTTAGCCCCGAAAAACACCTAAAAAAAGGCTGTTTTCCGGGCCACCAGAGTATACTACCCCCTTAAAGTAAACCATTCGAATCATCGAAATAAAATCTGTTTATCTTGAGACTATCTGCTATTGCAATTCTAACGAATGCTTATTTTTAGGACCTATTAACAAGCCCTCCACTATCTTATTTCGCATTTACAGTTAATTATCATGTCAATGACCTATTGACAAGCTATCCAAAAATCGGTGCCTACTGCTCTCTCCTTTATCGTAAAAATCAGAAATTCCATTTCACAACCATATTCCAACCTTATGAAATATTAGAATCTACTAATCGACATCACAGGTGCACATCAATTTTGTTTAACAGTACAAATAAGGCTATAATTATCTCTTCGTCGTGGTCCTCGGTCGATATCGAGCGTACATTTGTTCTGTCACCTTGTTCCTACCACTGTCGAAAAATCATTCCATGTTTCACCGTATTTTGAAATGATTAACCGCTTGGCCCGTATTTATTTTCAGAATCAATATTCATTTGCCTAGTATTCGTGAACGCTTCAATTATTTATGGAACACCATACGAACGCATAGAGTAAAGTGGGGCAAGTGTAAACCTTGGCCCACTTAGTAATGGAACAAACTGTTTTGCTTATTACAGCGCTTCTAGTGGACGTTTTCGGAAGCTTTTGACGTATATTTGTTGACAAGTGAATTTTTTCTACTCTGAAAACTACTGGGTAATTATGAAGAGGAAAATGATGGTAAAAGGTACAGTCTTCAAAAGACGCCCACATTAATCAGGATTCTATCATATATATCAATCATAATAATGAAATACTTAGGTTATAATCTTCATACATGATATCATAATACCGCTTCCAAAAATGGTAATGTTTTATCAAAATGCAAAAAATCTAATATAGGGGAAATGGCTCTATCGTTGGCCTATGGATCTAAGATTGGGCCCATCGCTAAAAATCCGCTATTTATCAATTTTACCAAGATGACCACGTCATTGGGACGGCACTTAAAGATATTTTTGGTCGCTATTGAAAATTTGTTCGATTGCTAAATGTATGTATGGGCCCAAATAAGGGGCATTGAGGCCGGCATTACATCCATTTCCACTATTACATAGTATTCAAAATACAAAATATTTTTCTAGTGAGCTTGTATTCAGTAAAGGCTTCAATCCTGCTCATAATCATTGGACTATCATTTCGTTTATCTGCCTTTCGAATTAGTGCATACTCTTACCACGCTTTACCCTACACTGAGAGCGGGCGTGATGTTCCAGTTGCCAATCAACAGAAATGAAAACAAAATTGATTCAACCACCACCACCACATCCATTCGTCTCGAACCGGCATTCCTATAGCCTTTTCGCTGCTGATTAGATATTGCCATCTCACGCAAACCACCAACCACCGTTTATCAGTATTCCGGTTGGGGCTATTTAAATCAATACACTGCCACCCATCGGCCAGTTGGAAAGCGTGCAACAGGTTGTTCAGAACGTTCAATTTAACTCACCCAGCAGAAAGATGATGACGACGCGTAAAAAGATCACACCCATGTTCAACGATTATCTGTACGAAGCCATCCGTCGGATCGCCATCGAGCAGGGCTTCACGCCGGATCTGTTCTCGGTGGACTTCGACGAGGAGACCTGCATCGAGTGCGATGGGTTTGTGAGTTTCGTGTTCAAGGCCATCGTCTACGGTGACGATCGGGAGTTTGTGCTGTGGTGTAAAGTTCCGCCGAATGACGATCAGCGCTCGTTGGCCCTGTTCAAGAGGGAGGTGTTCTTCTATCGGGAAATTCTGCCGGCTTTCTACGAGTTTCAAGCGGAAAAAGGGATCTGCCGGGAGAGGGGAGAGGGATTCTACAGTGCCCCCAAGTGCTATCTGGCGCATTGTGAAGTGGAGAAGGAGGAACCGGAGGCAGTGATAATTTTGGAGTACGATGAGAACTACGAAAAGTGGGACTGGGACAAATTGGAACCGATCAATTTGGAGCACACAAAACTGTTGATGGAGCAGCTGGGGCGGTTACACGCTATTTCTTTTGCCATGAAGGAACAGAAGCCGGAAGCGTTTGAACATTTTAAACTGAAAGATGTTTTGGCGGAAAGGAACGATCTGGTTACGCTGATGAAGGAATCGTTTGACCGAGCTCTGACTACGATGAAAACGCGGTTTGCTGCAGAACAGGATAAGATTCAGCAGATAAAGGACGATGTGTTTCGGGAGTTGACGGCTTGTTCGGACCCGGAGAAGACCGAGCCATACTGCGTCGTCAGCCATGGCGATTGCTGGATCAATAATCTTATCTACTCGCATAACGAGGTAAGTCGGGGGGAATGGACATATGGTTGCTTATCGGTGAGAGCTAAATTTACTTGATTAATTACCAATATTTGAACTGATCGAAGATAGACGACGAGAATTGATTAGATTGTCAGGCTACGAAAGGGAACGGGGATGTTACTGATGTTACTCCCCAACGACCGTTAGTCGTTTATGAGTTAGTAAATAAGTTTGTGCCAAATCCAGTGCTGTCTTCGTGAAATTGGAGCTGGTTAGTCGCTATATGTTAGGATGGGCGGAACTCATATGATGGACCATACGTCGGTTTCCCAGAATGGAGGAGAGCCTTCAGGAAGGCCTCTATTTGCCTTCGGAAATAGATGCGGTGAAATCTGAAGTTGGTTACCGACCCACAACCCAACGAGTGTAAGCTAGAAGGTGATGTTACTTAATAAATCTTTATCAACATTACCAACATGAAATTCCTATAAAGTTAAGAAACTTTTAGAAATGTACAGAACTTTCAGCAAGCAACTCTTTATAAGCTCAAAGGAAACTTTTGAGAAGTTTCGAAATAACTTTAGAAACATCCGATGGAACTTCAGGGAAATTTAGAAGGCTCTAGGAAAACATCAAGGAAGTGTAGGAAGGAACTAGGGAAATTATCCAAGAACTCCAATTTCAATCCAGGCAAATTTCTGGTAAGCTCCAAGATATCTCCAGGAAAACTTCAAGGGAACTTCAGAAAAGTTGCAGGAAAACTACTGAAAAATTTGAATGCATTTTGAAGAAAGTTCTGAGGGATCTCCAGAGAAGTTCTGAATATACCTTTGGGAAGCTTTTAAGAATCCAAGTAACATTGCAGGTTTTATCGAGGTTTTATAGCATTCTACAGTCCAAATCATGGTCTACATAACCTTCATAAAACCAAAATTGTTACTTGGGAAACTTCAGGGACATTCTTAAGAAACTTCAGAAAAGTTCTAAGTGAACTTCAGGGAAGATCTGAGGGAACTCTGGAAACAGTTTTGAGGGAACTTTAGGAATGCTTTGAGGGAGCTTTAAGAAAGTTCTCATGAAACTTTATTAAATGTCTGAGGAAACTGTTAGACAGGAAACTTCAGGGCAGCTCCGAAATTTTTTTGGGGAAAATCTATGGGAGCTTTAGAAATGCCCTGAGGAAACTTTAAGATTGTTCTGATAAGAACTTAATAAAGTTGTGGTGAAACTTTTCGTAGAAAACTGGCAGAACGTTATAAGGGAACTTTAATGAAGATCGAAGAGAACTTCAGGAAAGTTCGAAGGGAACTTTAGGAAAGTTATAAAAAAATGTTAAGAATGTTCTGAGAAGACTCGAGAAAGTTCTGGGATGAGTAAAGTACATAGGAAACTTTAAATAAGTTATGAAGGAGCTTCAGAAAATGGTGAGGGAACTTTGGCAATGTTCGAGGGAACTTCAGGGAAGACTTGAAGGAACTCTGGGTGAAGTTTTGAGCAAACTTTAGAAATTCTCTAAAGAGGGAACTTTAAGAAAGTTCTGAAAAAACTTTATGAAATGTCTGAGGAAACTCTTATAAATGGAATATATGGGAACCTTAGGAATGCTCTGAGAAAGCTTTGAGAATTTTTTTTTATAGTCACTTTAACACTCTTGGGTCATTCGTGACTTGTCCGGGGGTGAGATTTGAACTCGTGACTTTGGCGTGAGAGGTAAGGATGTTAACCACTACGTCGGGGCCGCCCCCTACTTTGAGAATGCTAAGAAGAATTTAATAAAGTTGTGACGAAACTTTAATAACAAGTTCGTATTAAACTGTAAGAATGATATGAGGGAACTTGCGGGAAGTTCGGAGGGAACTTTATGAAAATTTATGAGAAAACGTTAAGAATGATTGACTTTAATAAAGTACATAGAAAACTTTAAGTAGGTTCTGAATAAACTTCGTAAAATTCTGAAGGAGATTTGAAAATGTTCTAGAGAACTTCAGGAAAGATCTGAAGGAAATCTGGGCGATGGTTTGGAGCGATTTTTGGGAATTCTCTGAGGGACCTTTAAAAAAGTTCTGATGAAACTTTATGAAATGTCTGAGGAAATTGTAAGACAGGGACCTACAGGGAAGTTCTAAAAGAACTTTATTAAAAATATATGGGAACTTTAGGAATGCTCTGAGAAAACTATGAGAATGTTTTAAGAAAAAAATAATAAAGTTGTGACGAAACTTTAATAACAAGTTCGTAGAAAACTGTAAAAAAAAGATGTGAGGGAGTTTTCGGGAAGTTCGGAGGGAACTTCAGGGAAGTTCTCAGGGAACTTTAGGAAATTTATGAGAAAACGTTAAGAATGTGCTGAGTAGACTTCTGGGATTGATTTTGATAAAGAACCAAGGAAACTTGAAGTAAGTTTTGAAGAAACTTCGTTAAATTCTGAGGGAGCTTTGGAAATTTTCGAGGGAGCTTCAGGGAAGATCTGAAGAAACTCTGGGCGATGTTTTGATCGAACTTTGGGAATTCTCTGAGGGACCTTTAAAAAAGTTCTGATGAAACTTTATGAAATTTCTGAGGAAACTGTAAGACAGGGAACTTCAGGAAAGCTCTGAAAGACTTTTAGGAAAAATGTATGGGAACTTTAGGGACACTCCGAGAAAACTTTGAGAACGTTCTATGAGGAATTTAAGGAAAGTTTTGATGAAACTTTAATAATTAATTCGTAGAAAACTGTTAGAAAGTTGTGAGAGAACATCATGGAAATTCTGATGGAACTTCAGGGAAGTTATGAATTCTAAGAAGACTTTAAGCATGCTCTGGGATGTCTTTAATAAAGTGCAGAGAAAACTTTAAGAAAGTTCTGAAGGAACTTCTGCAAAATTTTGAGTTAACTTTGGAAATTCTCGAGGGAACTTAAGGAAAGTTCTGAGGAAACCTTGAGAAAATTTCGAGGGAGCTTAAAGAAAGGCGTGAAACAACTTCATGGAATTCCTAGGGAACTTCTGGAAAGTTCTGGCTTCAGGAATGTTATGATGAAGCTTTAAGATAGTTCTGATGAAGCTTAAATAAAGTTTAAAGAAAAGTTCAGGAAAGCTCTGAAGGACCTTCACGAAATTTCGGTAGAAACTTTAGGAAGGTTCTGCTGAAACTTTTAGAAAGTTCTGGGGAAGCTTTAAGAAAATTCCTAGGGAACTTCTGGAAAGTTCTGGCTTGAGGAATGTTATGATGAAGCTTTAAGATAGTTCTGATGAAGCTTAAATAAAGTTTAAAGAAAAGTTCAGGAAAGCTCTGAAGGACCTTCACGAAATTTCGGAGAAACTTTAGGCAAGCTCTGCTGAAACTTTTAGAAAGTTCTGGGGAAACTTTAAGAAAATTCCAAGGAAACTTCTGGAAAGTTCTGGCTTCAGGAATGTTATGAGGGAGCTTTAAGATAGTTCTGATGAAGCTTAAGTAAAGTTTAAAGAAAACTTTAGGAAAGGTCCGAAGGACCTTCACGAAATTTCGGAGAAACTTTAGGAAAGTTCTTAGGTAACTTCAGAAAAGTTGTGAGGAGACTTAAAGAAAGTTTTGAAGGAACTTTACGGAAGTCCTCAAGAATCTTTAAGGAACTTTGGAACAGTTCTGGGGAAAGAGTTTAGTTAACTTTGAATATTAATTTTATTCTAAAGAAATTTTTGGGAAGTTCAGAGGAAAATTTAAAAACGTTCTGATGAAACTTTGAAAAAGTTCTAAAGAAACTTTAACAGAGTTCACTGGTAAGTTTTAGAAAGTTTGGAAGAAACATTAAGAAAGGTCTGAGGAAACTTTAGAGAAGTTCTGATGAGACTTTATGAATGTTCTTAGGAAACATTTAGAAAGTTTTGAGAGAAATTTAAAATAGTTCTGTAGAAACTTTACGATAGTTCTGAGGGAATTTTAGAGAAGTTCTCAGGGAACTTTAAGAAAATTCTGTTGTGTTTTTAAAGAAACTTCTGAAGCAACGTTAAAAATGCTGAGAAGACTTTTTGAAAATTCTGAGGAAACTTTGACAAAGTTCCGAGGGACCTTCAGGGAAGCTCTGATGGAGCCTTAGAGATGTTCTGAGGGAACTTTTGGAAAATTCTGAGGAAACTTTTAGAAACTCCTGAGAAAACTTATGGGAAGTTATCAAGAAATATTAGGGATGTTCTGAGCCAATTTTCAAAAAATTCTTAAGGAACAGAGGAAATATTTTGAGGGAGCTTTGAGAATGTTGTGAAGGAATATTAGGGAAATTCTGAGGAAACTGGAAGAAAGTTCAGAGCAGACTTTATCGCTGGAATAGTTAAGAAAGGTCTAAGGGAACATCAGAGCAGCTCTGATGATGAAGCTTTACCGAAGTTCTGAGGGAACTTGTTTAAAGTTCAGAAAGAACCCAAGAGAACCTGATTTGGAACTTCAAGGTAGTTCTGAGGAAATTTTAGGGAATGTCTCAGGAAACTCTGAAGGAAATACCTGAGAATTTTTAAACATAAAGTTCTGTGGGAACTTTAAGAAAGGTCTGAGGGAAGTTGGGGAAAGTTCTAAGGGAACTTTTGAGGAGTTCAGAGGAAACTTTACAAATGATCTAAGGAAACTTAAGAAAGTTCCAAGGGAGCGCCAGTGAAGTTCTGAGGGAGCTTTAAGGATGTTCTGAGGGGACTTTAAGAAAGTTCTGATGAAGCATAAAGAAAGTTTTGATGAAACCTTTAGAAACTTCTCAAGGGGCTTTACGAAAGTTTTTATGGAATTTAAGGGAAGGTCACAAATGTTTTGAGGGAACTTAAATGAAGATTGAAATAACTCTTATGTTGTTCTAAAGGAACATTTATTATGTTCTAATGTAACATTAATGAAGTTGTAAAAGAACGTTAATTAAATTTTAAAAGAACTTTAATGAAGTTCTAAAAGAACTTTAGAGAAGCTCTGAGGATTTTTTTTTAATTCTTTAGAAACTATAACAAAGTTGCAAGAAAATCTTAGGAAAGATCGGAGGAAACATTAAGAAGGTTTGAAGAAAGTTCAGAGGATTTTTTTTTAATTATTTAGAAACTATAACAAAGTTGCAAGAAAATCTTAGGAAAGATCGGAGGAAACATTAAGAAAGGTCTGAAGAAAGTTCAGGGAAGTTTTGAGGGCTAAAGTTCGGGTTAAAATTTATAAATATTCTTTGGAAATTTTAAGAAAGATTTTAGAGAACCTTAACATAGTTCTTAAGAAACTTCACGAAAGTTTTCAGGAAACATTATAAAAAATCTGAGGAAACTCTAGCAAAGTTTTGAAGCTTTTTTTAGAATGTTCTGAGGAAACTTCATTATAGTTTTGAGAGAACTTTGTAGAAGTTTTGAGGGAACTCTATCAAAGTTCTTAGAGAACTCTAGCAAAGTTCTGAAGAACTATTATGAAAGAAACTTTATGAAAGTTCTGAAAAGACTTTTAGAAAGTTTAGAGGAAATTTTAAGAAAGTTCCAAGGGAAGTTCTGATGGAGCTTTAGGGGTGTCCTGCAGGGTCTTTCGTGACCTCTGAAGAAACTTTTAGATAGTTATGAGGGAATTTAAAAAAAATCTGATGCAAATTAAAAAAAGTTCTGAGAAAACTTTAAGAAACTCCTGAAGGAACTTTAAGGATGTTCTAAGAAAACTTTACGAAAATTACGAGGAAGTTTTTGGTCAATTTTGAGGAAATTTTGGAAAAGTTCTGCAGAAACATTAGAGAAGTGCTAGGGAAACTTTACAAAGTTCTGAGGGAACTTGATGAAGAACTCTAATGAAGTTCTAAAGGAACTTTCATTAAGTTCTAAAGGAACTTTAATGAAATTGTAAAGGAACTTTAATGAATTTCTAAAAGAACTTTAGAGAAGTTCTGAGGATTTTTTTTAATCTTGAGAGACTATAACAAAAATGTAAGAAAATCTTGGGAAAGATCGGAGGAAGTATTTTTGGAAGGTCTGAGGAAAGTTCTGACGACTAAAGTTCGGGGGAAAATTTATAAATGTTTTTGATGGGGGCGACCCCGGCGCAGTAGTTAACAGCCATACCTCTCACGCCAAAGTCACGAGTTCAAATTTCACCCCCGGACAAGTCACGAATGACCCAAGAGTGTTAAAGTAGCTATAATTAAAAAAAATACATATACATATATAAATGTGTTTTGGAAATCTTTAGATAGTTTTGAGCGAACCTTAAGATAGTTCTGAAGAAACTTTATACAAATTCTGATGGAACTCTAGCAAGTTTTGAAGCCTTTTTTTGAATATTCTGAGGAAATTTTATAGACGTTTTAAGAGAACTTTGTATAAATTCTGAGGGAACTCTAGCAAAGTTCTGAAGAATTTTTAATAAAGATCTGAAGAAACTTTATGAAAGTTCTGAAGAGACTTTTAGAAAGTTCAGAGCAAGTTGTAAGAAAGTTGCAAGGGAACTTCAGGCAAGTTCTGATGGAGCTTTAGGGATGTCCTTCGGGATATTTCGTGATATATGAGGAACATTTAAAAAAAGTTCTGATGCGACTTAGAGAAAGTTCTGAGAAAACTTTAAAAACCCTGAAGGAACTTTGAGAAAGTTCTAAGAGAACTTTAGGCAAATTATGAGGATGTTTATTGGTAAATTTTGAGGAAAGTTTGGGAAAGTTCTGCAGAAACATTAGAGAAGTGCTAGGGAAACTTCACGAAGTTCTGAGGGAACTTGATGAGGAACTCTAATGAAGTTCTAAAGGAACTTTTATTAAGTTCTAAAGGAACTTTTATGAAGTTGTAAAGGAACTTTAATGAAGTTCTAAAGGAATTTTAGAGAAGTTCTGAGGTTTTTTTATTAATCTTTAGAGACTATTACAAAGTTGCAAGATCGGAGAAAGCATTAAAAAAGGTCTGATGATAGTTCAGGGAAGTTCTGAGGGCTAAAGTTCAGGGAAAAATTCATAAATATTCTTTGGAAATCTTAAGAAAGTTTTGAGAGAACCTTGAGATAGTTCTGAAGAAATTTCATGAAAGTTCTGAGAAAAGTCTATAGAAATCTAAGGGAACTATGAGAAAACGTTTAAATAGTTATGAAGGAAGTTTACAAAAGTTCTGATGCGACTTAGAGAAAGTTCTGACAAAACTTTAAGAAACTCCTGAAGGAACTTTAAGGAAATTCTAAGGGAACTTTACGAAAATTATGAAGATGTTTTATGGTACATTTTGATGGAAGTTTGGGAAAGTTCTGAAGAAACATTAAAGAGTTCTAGGGAAACTAAACGAAGATCTGAGGGAACTTTATAGAATTTTTGCGGGAACTTTAAAGAAGTTCTGAGGGACCTTTATAGAAGTTCTCATGAAATTTTAAATAAGTTCTGATGAAACTCTAGTAAAGTGCTGAAGAATATTTTAAAGTTCAGAGCAAATTGTAAGAAAGTTCCAAGAAAAATTCAAGCAAGTTCTGAGGGAGCTTTAGGGATGTCCTGTGGAACACTACCGATCATTAGTTTAAGGACACCCCCAAAAAGCCATGCAAATATGTTTTGTTCAATTATCTCTCATTTTACGTTCAATTTTCGATCTCCAAAGGTCATTTGAATGGTATGAATGGTAAAGCATAAGTGTTCTACTACTACTTTTATTTCAAAATTTGGCCAATCCAATTCTGTGAAAATCAGTCACGATTCTACAGAGTAAATTTTAAAAAATATTGTAACCTTGGGTGAACTTTTAGCACACAAAATTTGAAAATTATATTGAACAATTTGCCTAAGGGAAAAGTTCCATTCAATACCTTTCAAATGATTTAAAGAGAACGGAAATTGGACGTAACATGATAGAGATATGAACATAACAAATTTGTCATGTTTTTTTGGGGGTGTCCTTAAACTTATGCTCGGGAGTGTATCTTATGAGAACTTTTAAGGAAAATTTTAGATAGTTATGAGGGAACTTTATAAAAGTTATGAGGAGGCTTAGAGAAAGTTCTGAGCAAAGGTTAGAAACTCCTGAAGGAACTTATGAAAGTCCTGAGGAAATTTTTTGAAGGCTCACAGTTTACATTGAGAAATGTCTAAGGGAACACCAGGAAGCTCTGATGAACTTTAGAGAAGTTCTGAGAGAACTTTAAAAAAGTGTTTGAAAGACAGCCTGCTCTTGTGGAACATCAAGAAAGTTCTGAGGAAATTTTGGGGAGGGTATGAGGGAACTATGAAGGAAAGTCTGAGGGAACTCTGAAGGAAGTTCTGAGGAATATTTTAAAAAGTTAAGGAGATTTTTAAAATGTTCTAAGGAAGTTTTAAGAAATGTTGGACGTCTGAGGAATCTTCAGGGAAGTTTTAAGGGAACATTAGGGAAATTTGGAGGATACTTTCTAAATGTTCCTAGGAAACATAAAGTAAGTTTTGAGGGAATTGAAAGAAAGTCCCGAAGCAACTTCACGGAACTACTGAGGGAACTTTAGGGAAGTTCAGAAGAAACATGAGGGAAGTTCTGATGGAACTTAAACGAGATTCTGAGGGAACTTTTGGAAAGTTCTGAGGGAACCTTGCGAAGGTTCTTCAAGACCGACAGAATTTTCGGGTTATGTTCTGATGGGACTTCTGAGATATTCCGAAAACAGAAAATACTTAATAAAAATTCCGTTGGATCTTTTGAGAAGTTCTTAGGAAATGGAAGTTCCAAGCAAAGATCGAAGAAGTTCTGTAAGAAGATCATAAAAGTTTGGAAGAAAAATTAAAGAACCTCCGAGAAAACTTGAGGAATTTTCTGAAAGAACTTTAGGGAAGTTGCTATAGAATTTCAGTCAGATCGTGACAAAAGAGACCATCATCAATTTGACCCACCCTGGGCCCTAATCAAGCTTAAATCATGGATCGACCAAAACTTGATTCAAGCCCCACGCAATTATTTGTTTAATCATTATGGTCACTCAAGGGTCATTCGTGATTTGTCCGTGGATGACAATTGAACTTGTGCCTTTGACATGATTTAACTACGTCCCTGCACCCAAAATTGTGTGTACCTTCACAAGTTTGATTGGTTTCAAATTGAAGATATTACTTTTCTCAAACATATCCTGATCGCTAAGTGACTGAAAGTCAATCTAATAAAAAAAAAAGAACCTGATCACTAATAGTTTAATCTATCCGATTTTAGAACATAAGTGCAAATCACGTCATACATCTTCCAACCTCCTCACATGACAGCCCAATTTAGCAGTCGCCGGAAAACTAATAATCGATTTCTTTTCCTTCCAGAACAACACCGCCATCAGTGTCGTCCTCACCGATTGGCAATCGTCCCGGTACGCTAGCCCGTTCCTGGATCTGGGCTACTTCTTCTTCTTGTGCTCCGGTGCCCAGTTCCGTTTGGACCACATGGATGCTCTGCTGCAGCACTATCACAACGCACTCAAGGACCTACTGGATCGCTTGGGTGGAGACACGGCTCGTCAGTTCCCATTCACCGCACTACTCCGGTTGGTCAAACCCTACCGGGAACTGCTGCTGGACGGTTAGTTGCGGGAGTTGGAATTTATGTTTCGATCTAATAAATCATTGAAAACAAAAACAGGTGGCACAACTATTGCAGATTTAGGGGAGTTTTGCTTTTGTTTGGCTGCTGTGGTTTCGAAATGGGACCACTTTAGATACGGGGATCTCCATGGAAAATTGGTTCCCGCTTTGTGATAAGAAGCTTTTTTTTTGTTTGTGGTTGACGATGTGGGCGTGCGATAAAAGCGATAAAAGGAAATGGAAGGTCATCGATTTTCCAGAATGCTTTGTCAGTGTCGGTCCGATGATAGTGGGAGGAAAATCCATTTCACTTTTATTGTTATCCTGAATGGTTCGGGAAGGGAATTGACTAGGTATTGGACATTTTTCAACAAATCATTTGTGGGGATTGTTTATTACCCAAGTAGCCCACGACCACAGACAAACAGACATAACACATTGAATATTTCTCACTGTAAAACACCGTCGCTAAAACATTACCGCCATCTGTTGAGTACACTCTTGTGGGCACTACACTGAACAGATGGCGGCAGTGTGTAAACGTCAAACGCAAGGGAATTGACTATGCGCGCCACAGGTGGCGGTACTACCAACTACGATACTTTTAAATTGTCCGTTAAATGCTTGTTCGACGAACAACTTGCAAGTGTTATGTCTGTTTGTCTGTGCCACGACTGTCACACAAAGTAGCAGTAGCTTGATTGTGACTAACATGATACCTATAACAGTTAGCTCAACCGACTTTTGACAAGTGTGCTACGAGGGTAGTCAACCTGATGGAGACAAATCAGCAGGAGCAATCATATTAACTTTTTTTTGGTGATTCATCAACACCACTTCGGTTATTTCTCATATTCACGCGTCTACATTCTTCATGCTTCTGCAAACGACATGCTTCAACAAGGCCAGCTAGCATTACCATGGGTCCACTTTTTATCGACCATTTTAAAACCACGCTAAAATTCACAATGTAAACACCATAGGTACTCGTTGAATTTTAAATCCAATTACAGGAGCAACAGATGTGCTTTTTTCTTCAGTAGATAGAATGCCGATTAAGGCGATTCCTTGTAGAGTTCACAAATGGTCACCACGTTGGCTTTCATGTACTTCCAGTTAGAATTTTCAATTACACACATCTCGGAAATTAGTGTCCCATTTCACCTGAAATTGCTACTTCATGTATGCTGCAGTACAGCAAACGTGGAGTAACTGTTTCATTATGGTACGTATCGTAGAAGCTGATATTTGTGCTCTTACGTTAAATGTAATCAGAGCCTATCCGAGAGGCAGAGTGCTAGCACAGATTGGCTAAAAGTGAAACCGAATCAGATACAGAGCACACAACAACGCGAAACTGTGGCTATGGAAATTACATATAAACTGATTTCTGGTAGTTGTTAACAAACCTAGAGATCTCTTACAGACTACAAAATATAGTACCAAATCATGTCCGATACCTCTATAGCGCCCCTTTAGTGCTACAATTAGGTAACTTTATATGGATTTAATTTAAAGATACCTAGTTGTAGCATTGATAAGACGATATATGCATTTTGATTCACATCCGCTGTCCCTCATTTTAAGCATACTCAACTGAAAGCATGCATCCTTAGCCCCGCCCCAATAAGAAAAAAAAAGAAGGAAATTCAAGTAGTGGTTGAGCTTAGGAAGCATTTTGTGTGTTGTCATCATTCCAGTGTTAGCATTCAGCGAGCAAACACGTATTGGAATATTCGGAAAGTGTAGTCAAGTTTTCAACAAAAACATGAGTGGAAAGAGATAATGACAAGCTACATCCACTGGCGTTTTATCCCATGAACCGACGAAATCAGGACAAAGAGTATCGTGATCGCCTATATTTGGTACATTTACAAGCTATCCGCGCGATCAGCAATGTCATCATCAAATGGGATGCGTACAAAGGACCCAACCGGAGTGTCACGCAGTGCAAGCGCTGCTTAAACGTTGGGCATGGCACTCGGAACTGCAACTTGAAGCCAAAGTGTAACTTTTGCTCCCAAGAGCATCTCACTGAACATTGCATCCTCGAAGGAACTTGTGCTTTCAAGTGTGCAAATTGCGGTGGAAATCATTTGTCAACGGAGAAGGCGTGCACCAAACGTGAAGAGTACCGACGTATCCGGATGCAAGCAACAACAAGGCATCAACCAGGAAACAAAAAGAAGAAGCAAGAACTCATCGATCTAGATTCATTTTTCGAACTACTACCACCGCGGTCGAGACCTGTACCAGCTCTTCCACCCCTGCCGCTTCCTAATCAACAACAAACACGGAACCCATCACCAGACGGAGCACTTCCCGGCTTCAGATCCTATCAGCCTAATCCCAGCCCAAATAGAGGGTTCTCAGAAGCAAACCAGCCTGATTTCCGGCCAAACACTGACCTGCGAAAGGATTCCGAGACGCAAACGATCGCACAACTCGCAACACTAGTAGCTGAGCTACAAAAAATGATGATACAGATGATGCAGTTCTTCATGAAGTACAACATTCACCATTCTAATCCTTAATTGGAATGCCCGATCATCTAATCTAATCGTCCGGCAAGCTAATTGGTACCCTTTTAGTAAGCTACGGCATTGTAAATTTTTGCTTTCGTTCGTTTTTACTTGTGTCTCTGTAGTGTTGCATGTAAAGTTTATGTGTATAGGTGATATATATGGCTGAGTGTGCAATATGTAATTTGGGGATTTTGGTAAGTGATTTGCCGGTTATCTGTGTGGGTAAGTGTGCTCGTGTATTTCATTGCAAGTGCACTACACTCACGCGGACTCAGGCAAAACTTATCACAGATAATGCAAATGTTCTATTCAAGTGTAGTAATTGTCTGTCAGATCAGAGTTGTGACGAGCAGAATGTATCGGTTTCGGATACCAAAATGCTGGGGGAAGCAATGAAGCAATTGTCTTCTGTTGCTGACTCTATCACTGGTATACGAAACAACGTTGCTGCTCAGATAGACAACGCGTTGAGAATTGGCATGGAAAAAATGCAACAAAATATGAACGATTCTTTAAGTTGCTTTGAAAAATTAATTAGTGAGAAATGGAATACGATGACTAGTTCATGTTTTGAAATTAGTACGGAAAAAAATTTAGCTGCAACGAATAGTGCATCTAGGACGGTTCATTCTGAATCGGACCGAAATCCCAGACGCAAAAAACGTAAATTTCAAAATAGTGACAACGATTCGACTGATGATGTTTTTCAAGAAAATGCGAGTTTTGCGGATGTTGTAAAAAGATCTAGTCATGCAAGTAAAAGTAAAAATATTAGTAACAGCAATAGTAACATTAACAGTAACAGTAACATTAACAGTAACAGTAACAAACAGAGTAATCGTAAGACTCGTCCGGTCATTGTGATCAAACCAAAAGAGTCCAAACAAGCTTGCGAAGATACTCGTAAGTTTTTGAAAACTCAGTTGGATCCAAAAACACACAAAATCAGTAATTTTAGGAATGGTAAAGATGGCTCTATTATTGTTGAGTGTGCAACAGGAGCTAATCTTAATGATGTAAAAACTGGTATTGAAAGCAATCTGGGTGAACAATATAGTGCTGTTGTTCCCACTTCGGTGCCAAGATTGAAAATAGTGGGCATGAGCGATCAGTTTTCCTCCGATGTCTTCATTGACTACTTAAAAAGTCAAAATGAAGACATCGCTATAAATGATGTTAAAGTAGTGAACATGTTTGAAAATCCACGCTTCACTTACAACAAGTTTAGTGTTGTAATTGAAGTCGATGTCGATACTTATAAATGTTTGTTATGTGCGAAAAAAGTAAATGTAGGGTTTGATCGGTGCTCGATAGTTCCCGCGATTAATGTGTTGAGATGCTTCAAATGTGGAGAATTTGGGCACAAGAGCATGGATTGCAAAAATTGTGATAGATGCTCTAGGTGCAGCCAACAACACAAAACGTCGGAGTGTACGTCAACTGTATTGAAATGTATTAATTGTTTGAAAACGAATAAAGAACGAAAAATGAACTTGGACGTCAACCATGCCGCATTTAGCTCGGAATGTTTGCTTTATAAAAGACTTTTTGATCAGAAGAAAAGCAGCTTGCGTTTCAATAAATAGCAGCCAAGTTCCAGGAATGTGAATCAATTCGATTTTTTATACTTGAATATTGCGGGGTTGTCAACAAACTACGTAGCATTACGTCAGATTGTTGAGGAAAAACGTCCTCTTTTAGTTTTATTATCTGAAACTCATATTGTAGAAACTGAAGCTTTTGATCAGTATAGTATTCCGGGATATATTGTTGCTGCTTGTTTATCACATTCTAGACACACTGGCGGTGTTGCTATTTATGTCAAAGAATCAGTTCAATTCAACCTTCGTACCAACGAAGTTATTGATGGCAACTGGTTCTTGGGCATTACAGTTGTACGTGGCATGAAGATGGGTAATTATGGTGTTTTGTATCATTCTCCCAGTTCTAGTGACCAGCGTTTTGTTGAAGTTTTAGAGAACTGGTTTGAGACATTCCTTGATTCTAGTAAATTAAATATATTGGCTGGTGATTTTAATATTAATTGGCGTGATAACCATAATTCGAATCATTTGAAGCGTTTAGCTGAGTTTTTTAATTTAAAGCAAACTGTAAATGAGTATACGCGTATTTCCAGGCACAGTAGAACTTTAATTGACCACGTTTATTCCAATTTTAATTCCATTTGTTCAGTTACGGATACTGATTTGAAAATAACCGATCATGAGACTTTAGTCATTAATGTCTTAGACCATGTTAACGATAACGATAATTTTGTAAAATTGAAGTGCTGGAGGAAATATTCGAAGCAAGCTGTTTCAAACCTTGTTGAGAGAAGCCTGGATTTTCCATTCGCGGACGGTAACTTAGATGAATCTACAGCTGTTCTTAATAACGCTTTGAAAACGTGTACCAATCAACTAGTTGAGCAAAAGTTTGTTTCTTTGAAAAACTCGAACAGCTGGTACAATTTGGATCTTTTGCGTCTTAAACGGAAAAGGGACAAATTGTACAA